CTGTGTGTCGGTCCTCTTTACGTATGAGCTTGCATTAGTCGGAATCACTGTTCACATCACTGTTGGCTGTTGCAAAAAGTTTTTAAAAAGTTTTAAACTCTGGCTTCAGAACTCTTGTGTGATTATTAAAACGCCAACAAAAAAAGTTTCTGTAATTGCAGAGAACTGCAGGAATAAAACTGGACTCTCCATTTGTTCTTGCTGAGGTGGATGGTAGCATTCGCCCTGTGGCACAGCTAGTTGCTAAGGCTAAAGATTAAACCTGCTTTTACTGTGATATTTTAAAATTATTAATAATAAGCCATATTAGAGCCAATATAGAGCAGAATGCCAATAAGAAGCAAGCACAGCTTAAACCGATTTTAGTTTTTTTTTTACTGATTACATCCAAGCTAGCAATGCAGCTTTTACAGGAAATTAAATATTAGGATGTATTAAAAGTATTATCTTTTAACTGCTGCTAAAGAGGTCAGAGATAAATGACCCAAACAACAACTCTTGCCACACTTTACATACTTGTTAGCATTGTTAGCTAGTTAGCTGCAAATTAGATGTTTAAAATTCCTTTGCGCTAATAACAAAGTGTGAGATTGTTCTGGTGCTAATAAAATATTGTTCACTGTAGAGTTATTATGGAGAAAAACTGAAATCACAACAGTTGTAGTAAAATATTCACTTGTTCCTCTTTAACATCAGTGCTGCAGTACAGCTCATTACTGCAAGAAGTTAGAAAAGTAAGCATTTATATTGTCAAAATTTGTGTTTGAGGATGTTCTCTTTATATTGGATTAAAGTATATTATACTGACTGTGTAAGCTAAGTTCATCTGTAAAAAATAAAACCATTGTTGTCATGTTGACTTTAAAATTTCATCTGAAAATTTGAGGTTTTGGAATTTTTTGTAGCTAAATAAGTGTATAATCTTGAAATAGTAAAATTAGGGTAACTTTAAAAACTTTTCAGAGCAAAAACTCATAAAAATCAGATTATGTTAATCTTTTATCTTCAAAATGAAACCAGTTAAACTTTAACTATAAAAATAATTCTAGTTCTCTTTTACATGTTTTTTTCTGTCAATGTTTTAGTTTCTACCAGTGAAACTTTTCCTCTTTGTACATAAATATGAAACGATGTAAATTATGGTGGGGTAAATCCATGGAGGATGCAGGTGTGACGGCGGTTCTGTCTGTTTGACTGAATTTTAATATAAATTATTCAGGTGCGGCTTCATGTTCAACCTGTGTGAGCCGACAGTGAGCCGCAGAGACGGAGGGAAAAACCTGAATGTTAGCATGCTTTAAAAACACACAAAGGAGCAAAACGATCACGTTGAAATGATGAAAAAACAGAGGAGTAAGGAGAACAATGAGAGAGCGTGGATTTGTGTTGGGCTGGAAGGCCGGTCACGCTGCTGGCTGGGCTTAAAGCAACACCTGAGTGGCTCTCATTCGGCCTGTTAGCAGCCAAAAATGGCCGTCGACACAAACAGGGAGGCAGGGATGATGGAGTTACCTGGATTTGGTTCAGCACATAATTCTGCCCGCTTCAGATTTGACCTGGATTCTTTACATTTTATCATAAAACCTGGGTGCCAATTAGCTTTGGATGCTAGCATGGTGCAGACGCTGGTGTCTGCCAGTCCTCCCTGCAGAGAGAGAGAGCCGCTCGTTTTTCCTGCTCTTAACGTGATCCTGGGCTGCAGAGACTAACAGACTAAACTCTGAGCTAACACCTGCAAATGTGGCTCATTGAAGCTGCCTGCTGTAATCCTGTGAGCCTGCAATCAGCCAGCACAAAGGGAATTGATGATAGGGTATTATGGCAGTATAGTAAATATGAGCCATTAAAGTGCCTCAGATGATGCATTAACTCCACCGTTTAGTTTGTAATTAGATGATGTGTGTTTGAGATCAGTCCCTGGATGGCAGCTCTGTTAAATTTACAGCCTTTGTCTTGATTTGAGCAGCTTAAAGTTTAATTAGTGTTTATTTTAAAAAGTTCTAATCTACTTGTGGTGTCATTAAAGCAATAATGATCTGCTAATTTAACTTGCCAGAAAGTAGAAATGCTTTTCATATTCAGGAGGATTCCTGCCGGAGAGCTTCAGTCAGGTAGCAAATACCACTTTATAGATTGATTATTGAGGTTTCCAAGACTTTATTCCTGTAATTTATGATGATTTTTTTTTAATTTACTGTTAATAAAAAAATATATAATGATATTAGACCCAGAGCTGAATTCATAAAGATGTGGATCCAGGAGCTGGGAACCGTTTGGTGCAACATCCACTGCAGAAATGCAACATCCTGCATAATTTTAATTACAGTAAAATTATTTACTGTAATTTCCTAATGCAAATTACAGTAAATAAATATGTAAAATTGTATATAACTGAGTATGAAGTGATGATACCAAAATACTCTAACTTCTTCATTTTCAGTTCAATACAAATCCAAAATATAATTATATGCCATACCATATGGGCTTATTACTCTGACAGGAAATGCAATGTCTGCAAAAAAAATATTCATAAAAAAATGTTTTAAAATAAAAATGTGTGGGCCGACCCCCCAAAAATGGCTCCCTGGGCTGCTGCCCCTGTAAGTCTGACTCAGACCAATAGAAACTATTTTAATGAGAACTTATTGGTTTTTCCAACCCACTTTACAGATTATTTTCTGATGTATTGTAACTGCATCAATGAAGTTATCATCAGATATTTTCCTCCGTAAAACATGGAGCGTTTCGCTGGCGTCCATCTTGGATCCCGAGGATTATTGTTAAATGAACCTGAACATCCAGCAGCGCGTTTCTGATTGTGCTGCGATTTTATCCTGCTGATTCTGAAAACGAGCAGCGAATCCAAACCTGCAGCCAACAGACAGCATGACGTCTCATGTTTGCTCCAGATGAGCTGAAAACGGTTTGAGTCGCTGCTCTGCCAGGCCACATTCATTTTGAACAGTCTGAATCATCTTGTGATCTTTCAACATTTGCAACGGCTCAAACAAAACCTGCCGTATGAGAAGTGATATGGTAGAAACACAGAAAATGTACATTTTATTTCTGTTTATAATAAAGTTTGTTATTTAGTTCTTCTGCAGAGAAAACTCTGAGCTGATTCAGATACTATGAGATATTTCTGCTAAACTCGGATTAACTCTGGGCTTTCCAGGCTTTCTTCATGGGATTATCGTCTTGAAATGAGTCCAGATTAAAATAAATTTCTACAAATTGATGCTAAAAGTTTCTTTTTTTAACGATTGATTTTTGGATGCAGGAATAAAACTGAAACTAACTCTGATAAAATTCCCCTTTTTGATAATTTCTAGGGATTCAGTAAAAAATAATCTAATTAAATATTGAAGCTAATGTTCAAAGTTAGCTAAGATAATCTGAAAAGTGTCACATGTTTAACTATGTCATTAAAAAACATGATGTTAAGTATTAATTTACAGCTTTCATTTCTCAGTATTGAGATTTAATGGCTGGATGTTTTCAGATCTCACAGAAATAAATATAATTTTCATTCTAAACCTCAGATTAAAAATATGCTAGTATGAACAAGTTTTATGCTGATCGTTTATACAGATTTTAAATTTTGGGGGGGAGGAAGGAAAATGATATTTGAGATCATTTCTAGAACTGAGTAAAGATTAATACTTTTATTCTGGCAACATTTCTGAAAGGTCATCATACAAATGTTATATATATTCTTAAAATGTTCTTTCTTTTAGTCTCAGTAAACGGCAATATTTAGATAAAATATGATTAATTTTTAATCAAACATGTCTGTAGTTCATGTCGACACGTCGGGCGGCTGCAGCTTCCAAACTAAATCCGGGTTGCTCCAAAACAACGGCGGCTTCACTCAGCTGCATTTAAACACTCAAAGCAAACGCTGCGCATGTTTGTCAGAAAGTCACTTCTGAAGCCACAGTCACACACACACACACACACACACACACACACACACACACACACACCCGTCGTGCCTGGTTTCAGTGTCAGCGGCGGTGATGATGGTTCAGGTTGGGCTGACGCTGCTAACCGCCTCCATCAACACGCAGCAGCCGACTTTCAGGCAGAGCAGCAATTCTCTCCTGGCGCCAAAGAAAACAAAGTCTGCAGTTCACACACACTTCACACACACTGGCATGGCCAAGATGCACAAAGATCACAAAACAAAATGAAATCTAAAGACCCCAAACATCACTTCCTGTCAGCGCGAGCTCACCGGCCTGGAGGGCAGGAAGTGATGTTTACTGGAAGATTTTAGGTCCAAAATATTTAGATGTTTGTGTTTTCAACACAGCAGTTTTCACCACTTTGTGTGTGTGTGTGTGTGTGTGTGTGTGTGTGTGTGTGTGTGTGTGTGTGTGTGTATAAAAGGTTTCATCCCTGGTTGGTTTAAAACCTGCAGCATTGGACAGTTAATCCCTAAAAAGAACTAGTTCATCCAACTTATAATGAACTGATTCATGTTTATAGTTCAAGAAAGGTGTGCAAACATACATGTAGGTCAAAAGGTTCATTGATCATAAAACTATGTAAATTGGATTATGAAAATAAATTAGCTTAATGGAAAAAGGTTAATTTAGAAAAATCACGTTTTTACACCAGGATCAGCTTTTTAATTTTTTTTTTTTTTTTTTTTTTTTTTTTCGGTTTTTTTTCAAAATCCCAAAGTAAAACTTTCGGTTCCTAGCGCAAAACNACGATCTAAGATTGTGATAAGGAGAAAATAGGGGCAAAAAATCGTGTAGTGTGAACTATTGCATTAGGTAGTCGGATGTGCCCATCTTCTCTATTTAAATCTAGTGATTACTGAAGGCTAATATAGTATACAGACTTCATAATCTGCACTCTTGGTTGAATGCAGTATTTATTTCCACTTTGGCTTTATGTTGTTTAGTTTTTATTTAAGTATGTTTTTTGTTAATGGAGACAGAGAATCACTTTTATTTTTGGTTGTTTTGTTTATTTAGTTTATTAGTTCCAGTGTTATGTGTTCTTTTGAAAATAAAGTGTATCTATCTATGGCAGGAAATCGCAGGCATTATTATTATCGCAGGCATATTATCGTTTATCGCAATAACTTTTTAGACAATTAATTGCTCAGCAAAATTTGTTATCGTGACAGGCCTAAGCACAGGTGGTTTAAATTTCTCTAGACTTCACTTCATGAGTTCCAGAACATTCACTCTCATTAATCCGCTCTGCTGGCCTCAGCCACAACATCCCTGTTTTTAAAATCATGAACATATAAAAGGGATCATCTGCATTATGACAGGCTGCAGCTTGGCTTTGGTTTTTTAGCGGGTTTGGCGTTCAGGCCCACCCTGGCGGTTTCCTCAATCACCGCCTGAAGTCCTTGCTCAGTCAGAGCCGAACACTCCAGGTATGTCACCGCACCTGGGTTTCAGAAGAAAACAGGAAGATGGTGAACACAAGCAGAATGATTCAGTGATATTCAACAGGTCAAAGGAACGGATGCAAAGGCCTGAAAAGCTTAGCCACCTTTACTCTGATACCCCTAAAGTAAATCCAGTAAAATAAATTTACATTAGAAATCACATTTTAGTAAATGTAGATATGGTCCATGGAGGGTAAAACTGCTCACTGGACGGCTACAGTTGGTTTTAGCTGTTATGTTGTCAGCACAGCCTTATAAGCCTTATAAAAAGAAAAAGGGACACAATGCTTTGTCAAAACTACAACAACTAGACAACCAGGTCAGAAAAAGTTTTAATAAATAAAAAATAACGAGGGAGAGGAAAGTAGGTCAGTCATGCTAATTTGACGTTAGCAACCTAAACATGTAGATGTGCTGAGCAGTTCGGTGGGTTTCAGTTCAGTTTAAAAAAAAAGCCTACATAACAACCATGACAGATCATCAGTAGAGAAGGTGTGTTAATTTAGCTAATAGCAGCGGTAGCTAATCTACCACAGCAATCAATTTTTAATAATCACAAAATAAATATCAAGTCTGAAAACGTAAAAATATAACAGACTGAATGTTCTGTTCTTTATGTGGTAAATGGTTTTTCGGTGTTTAACCCTAATACATTGGTGGCGTTGCTGTTTGCTGCTATGGCAACAAACAAGTGTTTAGTGTAGCTGACGGAGAAAGCAAGAAAAAAGAATGGCTGAGTAGTTTTGAGTTGTTCTTCAATGGTTTTTCTGCGTTATTTTCCCCTGTGCTGTGGCACACCGCACTAAATTAAACATACCTACAGCTCCAGGTTTCATTTTGTTAATGGAACTGTTGTAGCACAACAGTGCGGCTGCAGATGGTAAATAAAAGAATCGCCTTTTTGTCCTCCAGCGCAAAATTTCTGGACATAAACAGTAACATGCAATATGTCTATTACGACTGGACAATCTAATTATGCTGATGTAAAAATGACCACTGAGACCAAATCTTTAATAGAACAGAAAAGTTGAGTCATTTCTATTTCCCTCTCATAACAAGAGATCAATTTAAATCAAAGTAAGAACATCCAGCAGATCAGAGAACAGCTATCTACCTATTTCTTCAGCCATGGCCAGGCCCTGGTCATAGGTGATGGGAGAGAGATGCTCCTTTTTCAGCTTTTCTATCCTGTCTGTGTCGTCTCTGAGGTCCAACATGGTGCCCACCAGGACGACTGGCACTCCGGGGCAGTGATCTCTGACCTCTCCGGTCCACTGCAGCAGGAGCATGGAGACTGGATCAGTGTTCACGGCATGGCAGCAGCGTTTTTATTGGTGAATTATCACAACAAGCAGAAATGTGAAGGCTCATGCATGATGAGTTGCATCCAAAACATTTAGAGTTTTATCTACATGTTTTATTCTTTTATAATATCAAAGTAAAATCCGAAACCTGACAGTAAAACTTTAGATTTTTTTTTTCAAATTGTATATTTTTATTTGTGTTCTTCGGTTTAATCCAGAGGTGTGCAACCTGCGGCTCCAGAGCCACAATGGCTGTTTACAACTTGATAAAGAACCAAGTCATGATTTTAAATCTACAATAGAACAACACTAAAAGCAACAGTTACCTTGTTTTGATCTATTTTACTTTGTCCATCATTAGATTGGAAACCACATGCTCGCTTTTGTTTTTTACATACTTGTATTAATATCCTGTTGAAGAAAATATACCCATCCTCTCTTTGCGAGAGGTTTTCAAGTTTTTACTTGTTGTAAAATCTAAAAATAGAAATAAAATTGTTTTTTTTTTGAAAAGACAACAAATTCCCTATAGTAAATATTTATAAAAAAAAATGGAAGTTGTCATTTTTTCAAAACTTCGTTTATGATTTGCAGCTCTAAATGTGTTTTATTTGGCCGGACAGAAGGACCAAAATGGCTCTTTGGATTGTTAAGGCTGCAGACCCCTGGTTTAGTGTCTTTAACATGTTAGTTATGAGTAGAGTCACCTTGCTTCGCACATTTTCAAAAGATGATGGACTGGTGAGGGAAAAGCAAAGCAGGAGCACATCCTACAAGGTAGAAAAACAACCAAAGTCAAAATTCCATGTATAACATACTTACATGCTTAATTCACATCAGATGTTGGCAAAACATTTAAAATCTTCCCATACGGTTTGACTGAACTGGCTATATTTATTGATGAACTGAATTTGTTTGTCTTGACATGTGAATATAAATAAAATGAATTATGTTTCTATTGGGGATCAAAGATCAACACAAGGTAGAGTAAAACTGAAGTTGCAGGTAAACGATGAATAATTTCAGTCATTTCTCACCTTAAAATCTGAAAAACATACCATACATCAGTGTTTGGCTGCTTCTACTCTAACACCCTTAACAAAAAAATAACAAAAAAACAAACAAACAAAAAAAAAAAAAAACAATGCATCTCGGCTTCCATGCACCTCAAACTTCCAGAAAACTAAAAAATCCAGAGCACAGAGTTCCTTTAAATCAGTACAGAAAACCCACCTGCTGCTTTTGAACCATAACTAATGGGACATAGAACAGCATGTTTGATGCGTATTGATCGATGGCACGTTAGAAAACACAATGTCTGCTACTGGTTCCACAACAGTTGACTGAATGAAATGGTGTTTGTGCTAATGGTGGCTAGCTGCTGTGAGTCTCCGTGGAAACACACCGTCTGTGGGAAGGACAGGCGTCTTAACCGGTCATAGTCGGATAATCCGCTGTGGTCCCACACATCCAGGTTCACCTCGTTCCCGTCCACCGTCACACTGACTTTATAATTGTCCATCCTGCAGGTAGAAACATTCACTTTCAAAACAGATGACTTTCATTTAATCTTCAGTCACATTAACAAAAGAAATTCACCAATTCCCATCACAGTTACTATGACCAAAAGGTTTCTTAAAGTGCTGCTGTGTGTGACTTACACTGACGGGGTCCACTCCTTAGGAAAGCCTGCGGTGTAGGTGATGATCATGGCTGATTTACCCACAGCCCTGAGAGGATCAATGAGGGAAGCCTTTCAGGGACGGTTAATCATTCAGAGTCGTTGATTTTAATCAATATGTTTACTGATGCAGGACAGAAAATAAGTATTTGACACACACCACCATTTGCTTAAGCATGGCTAAGTTAGCCAAGTTACTTTTAACACTTTTCCCAGTTCCATCTTCTAAATACATTACCACTAGCACTTGTTCCTGGGTTACTTTTATCCACTTCAATTAAATTCAGATTGTTTTTATGTTCTCCAGCTGGTTTTGTTTGAGTCACAGTTATGAGCTTTCCATTGACCTTTTAAAAGATTGACACCAAAAATTTCAGTGGAGTTCCACTTGAGATAACCAAAGTAATGCCAGTACTGTACCACTGTTTGAGAGCCTTGGTTATTCCTTATGTATGATGTACAACATGCCAGTATGAAGTTTTTATTAAGTTTTGGTCCAAATACATTATTGTAACATTCAGATGCTGTTACACCTAAAAGATGCATTAAAACACACCTACTATTGTTGAAACATCCCTGTAAGTCAAATTCACCTGTACAGGGACATAATGTCACCTGAAATCTAACTTTTATCAAAGTTTTTTGTTACTAATAATTGTGTCACTAAATCACATTTGACTAGAGGCTTGTCGTACATGATATTAGCAGTCCAAGATATTTTTAGTACACACAGCTGTGTTCATTCTGTGCAAAGACAGAGTAAACAGCCAAAACCTCTTTGGCTTCTTAATCTTTAGCAGCATCTCCACCGCAGTGATGCTGTGAATTCCTGGGAGCTTTTTACAACATTTAAATTCAGCTGAATTTGATTGAAATATGTGTGTGATTACAAAGTTTTAAAGCTATTTACAGATTTCAGTGTTCAAAAAAAGGGAACCAAACAGCTCCAGTTGCTCAAAAGTACTGAGTTTTCATCACAAGTAGCCTGACAACAAAATCTGCTGGCATGTTAGACCTACAGCCACCAGGTGATTTCTAGATTAACCCAAACATTTGCACTGACTTTTATTCCCACTGATGAAGACAAAATATAAGGTAATATAGTTTAATTTGGAAGAAAACTTTATATTGACTTACCCGTCCCCCAGCAGCACACACTTTACCGTCTGCATTGTGTAACGGTATGACGTCAATTTCCTGTAAAAGAAAGAAAAAAAAAAAACAGGAGTTTATTAAGCAATCACAACAGTGCGTATTAATCAAGGGAGCATAACACTGATTCAGACCGCATTTCCATTTGTTGGCGGGTCCATGAACGCAGCACGGCGAGAACTTGGACAAGGTAACAGTTCTGATTGGTCAGATTTTCATCTCAAATCCGATGACAGCAAACACGAGATTTTGATCTAATAGCGGAAGAAGAAGAATTGGAAGAGGGGGATAAAGAAGAAGAAAAAGTTCCAAAAAATGAAAGAAAAAATCAACAACGTTTCATTTCACGTTTACTGTTCTCCGGTTGAACGGCAGAGGCCATGTCTAAAATAAGAAGTGTTCATACAACCCAACGTGACGTTTGGGAAGATAAAAAAAATACAAACTCCATCTCTTGAGTCCATGTGTAAGCTGACTAACATAAATGAAGATGTACCATTAAGTTGTACGGAGGCTCCAATTAAAGATATTTGCAATTACTGACTATCTGAAACATAAATGTTCTGTGGTGATCTGTGTTTTTCTGTTATTTTGAGGTTTTCTGTGTCCTGGTTTCCCTATGAGTCTCTGTGCCGTCCTGATTGTTCCCAGCTGTGTCTCGTTTATTTGATTACCCCCCCAGTGTATTTAGTCCCACCTGTTGCAGGTGTCGGATCCTCGTCGTGTTACGTCTTGCTGCCTGTTGTTCCGTTCTGTGGATATTTCATTAAATCGTTCATCACTTCAACCTCGGTCTGCCTGCGTCCTCCCTCACTTCACCAACCACAAATCATGACATGTTCATCATCTCGAAAGAAATTCTGAATTGTCAAATTGCCTGATATCAAAAATTCTGATAATGTTAGACACCAGAATGTAGATGCAGCTGTGTAAAACTATCACTCAGGATAATTAAAATGCAGTTGTGCTTCGTGAAAAAGCATTTTTAGGTATCTAAAATGTAACTCAGACGAGACCGAATGCAAGACAGACCAAGCAGGTTTTATGCTAAAACGGCCTGCCATACACGACTCCAGAGGGCGGTGGCGCATTCATGTTGCATTACTAATAAATATGCGGTTTGGAGACACAACGCAAAATACGACAGGTCAAATTAGATGGCTCTTATCTGACAGGCGTGGTTCGGCCTTACCTGTCTGCCTGTCTGATTCACAGAGGAACGAGCTCCGATGGTGCGAACTGTGAAAGATTTTATTTTAATGAATGAGTTCAGATGAAAAAAACAGTGATAAATTATTTTGTGAAATTAATACCAAAAAAATCTAGTTCTTATTAAAAGCTATAGAATGTATCGTAACTGAAAGTCTTCCTTTTATCTAAAACTGAAAGAAACGTTTTTCAAGGCTTGTGGTTCTTTTGTGTGAGAGTTTTTGCGCAGTAGCCAACAGGAAGGTTTCAACCACTACAGTCAAACTACAGTTACAGATGTGAAGTCTACGAAACAGGATCAATTTGTTTCTCAGAACAGAATTTATTACCATTTGTACAGATTTAGTAGAAGCACATTGGAATTCTTGTGTTTCTCCAACTCAAGAATGGTAAAGGTTTTTTATTTTTTAAAGATAGGACATAAATATAAGATAAAACAGACACATAAAAACCTATTGAATGATCTTTATAACAGATTTAAACGAGCAAGGAGAATTTCTGAAGAAGTCTCAGACTGAAGATTTATTCAGCATCAGTAATATGATTACACGTCCATCAAAATTACATGAAAAATGCGACAGAAAGCTAACAATTTATGTGATCAAAAAGGATTTAGTGCACATTACGCTATGGCTTCTTTTCAAAAGATTCCAATAAAAAACATGGGGGAAAAAAAAATTGCAAAAAACCACTGTTAGAGATGGGAACCTTTATGAACAAGAAAATGAACAGTTATTGAACATTAAGTTAACATTTATGTAAAGTTTAATGGTCCTTCAGGAGAATAAAAAAAGGCATTTTGTAGCCTAAATTTGAACACTGACTAGATGTCTCCCCTCTTCAACGGATGAAGGAAGAGAAAAGGAAACATTTAAAGTTTCAGAGCCACCTTAGTCAATTTCACTGGCACCAGGAAAACACATTAGAAAAAGAAGAAGGCCTTAATGTGGTCTGGATCTTGTGTCAATGAACCAGACTGCCTCTAAACCTGTAGTTCTGATGCTCATCTCCTGGGTTGCTTACTGGGAAATTCCCAGCACAGCAGCTGGACAAACAGGGATAAAAGATACGTGTGTGCAGCAGGGAGGGACTGGTTTCCTCTGGTTCATGCTTTGGATGTTTGGACAGAATCCTGTCTTGGTTTTGTCACTGACTGACAAACGGGGAAGAAATGCTCTGTAGCCGTTTCCATGGACTGTGTAACCGCACAATTTACACTTATTAATTCATTTAAGTTTATTTGATAGGGACAGACACATCAACATAGACAAACTGAACAGAACAGCAGTCCCATGTTTGTGTCATAGTGCTTATAGCAACAGCTATCAAACTACATATCAAAAATAAATTTGGTTGATTGAAACATGCCAATTTTGAAAAAACTCTCATTCGATAAAGATTTTTGGCACTAGGATGACGTTTTCGCAAGACAGCAAACAAGCTTCTCAGGTGCGACAAACAGCAAAGTGTACAGTGCCAACAAAAACATTGATCACTAACAGATTTCCTGAGCTCACAGAGCAAAGGATTTTTGCTAAGTTGACTCTGAGCCAAGAGCTTCTGGGTATAGAGGTCATCACAGGGGATTTATCAGCCAATCAAAACCAGCCGGAGAAAACATGCAGCCAATAAGAAAAAAGAAACATTTTATTTATGGGTGTTTGACTCATTCAGAGATGGGGAATGCAGACAAGCTCTTTGTCACATGAAAGGCTTCAAAACATGAAACCATTCGACTGAATAAAAACACAGGCTCACCTCAGAGTTTAAAGCATTAATCACTATTTTAATTTACAACCAAACATGGATAATTTATCAGAAAACAAAATGATATAATCCTTCATATTTAGATAGTATGACAGATATTCAGACAATACTAAGAGAAGAGATGACTTCAGGTTCATAAAAACATTATTACATTAAAGATTCACAAGACCGCTAATAGTATCCACGGATATTCAAGGGCCTTATTGGGTGGAGGTAGTTAGTGAAGGTGAAAGGTCACATTTGGAGTCTCCTATGCTCTACACACCAACCTGTTTATGAGATTTGCTCAGAGCCCACAAACCCTGCAAACCCTTCCTAAGTCTTAGGTCAGAGGGTGGAACCTAGAGCTAAAGCTACAGTAGCGATTGGGTTTTCAGAAGATTATTGGTTGTTGCTTGTGTGTCTGTATTTGATCACTTTGTATTGAATCTGACTGTCTGAGAAATGCTGGTTGATTGACAGTATATTCTTGTAACAGCAGCTCTGTGGATCTCACTATATCACGGTGCACTTCTTCTTGACCTTCTGTTTGGGAGCGGTCACAGGACACATCACCACCCTGACGGCTTCATCAAACACGGTCTTGAGGCCGCGCTGCGTCAGAGCCGAGCACTCCAGGTATTTCACCGCACCTGGTTTGAGGCAAGAACAAGGAAAACATGTCCATTGTATTTCCAGAATGCTTTATCCTTTTGTGTTAAATCAAGTTTTTAAATGACGTGGATCTCAGTAAGTTTGAATATCATCACCTAAGAGTTGATCTACTTCAGTAACTCAACTTAAAAAATGAAAGTCTTTGTACATCACTCTCTCGCCCTAACACAAACACAAACTGAGTTTCTATTAACCATCAAATTACTCAAGCTGAAGTTACAAAAATACATTTGCTTAACGGAAACGCACCGATTTCTAAAAAAAAAAAAAAATGTTGTTTTGGTTCTAGGATGAGGTGATTTTTTTTCAGCTGTATACAAACAGATGTATTTCGCAAAACTGCAATAGAAACACTTTTTTTGCATCACACAAGTCACATGATCAACAGCTGGATGTTACTACTAGCAAAGATGACAAAGAAGACGACAGGAAGTGGTAGCAAGATGATGTTTTGTTGTCTGTTTTCCCATCGTTCAGCTGACTCCACCAGAGCTCCCACAGCATCAGTAAGTTTGAACACAACTCTTACAGAGCTGTAAAATCTGTAAAATGGCTGATGATGCCTGAATAAGATGCCGACATCTCCTCTGATTGGCTGATAGATAATGATGGCTGAATTATGAATATATCTCATGTAACAATTTCAATCCATCCCTGCCACTATTTGTAATGACTTATTGTGTGAACAAGCTTATTCATGTGTGATTTTAATTTCATTTCTTATTTAACGGAAACATTACAATTGTGAAACTATCTTTTCTTCAACATTAGCAGAATATAGACAAATATTTGCGCAGATTTTTAGTGGAAATGCAGCTGGTGTGTGGTGGAGTCCACCCCAGGCCACACCTTCAAACTCTTAAATTTGCTTCACGATCTTCTTAATTCTGCAGGAATTCCTGTTGCTTATCTATTTTTGCCTGTTACATTTTAAACTTTCTATTAATACGGTTGGACACAGAATTATTCTGAGGTGTTAGGTCACACGTCTTCCTCATGAATGCACAGGCCATAGCATAACATTGTATTTGTCTTATATAGCATTAACATTTTCTGAGAAACTACATTTTGGTTTTTGGATTTTTATTACGTATGACTAATAAACATCTGAATAGTTCTGAGTAATAATCACCAAACTGAATTGAAATAAGTACATGATTTATACTGCAGTGAAAGTTGAATCTATACACACTTCTTGCCACACTCAAACTAACCAGTTTTTTTTTTAAAAGTCACTCTAAGCTCATGTTATATTGAACATGTGTTGGTGCATGTGTGGACTGGATGACTGACCTATTTCCTTGGTCAAGGCCAAACCCTGGGGGTAGGTGATGGGACAGAGGTCCTTCTCCTTCAGCTTTTCAATCATGTCCTTGTCGTCCCTCAGGTCGGACTTGGTGCCCACCAGGATCATGGGGGTGTTGGGGCAGTGGTGCTTCAGCTCCACACTCCACTGCAGGAACAGCCAGCAGGATGTTAGCAGACCAACTGACACGACAGCAGCAGAATCTGTTTCCTTTCGTTCTTTAGCAATGTCTTATTAATATAGAACATTTCAGCAGCAAGGATCAAAGTGCTTCACATTATGAAAACATAAGACCATAACTAAATGTACCATCACCGAATACACATCAAATATATGAATGAATCAATGTTCTGGTAATTATTTATTGAAGAAACTCTAAACTGGTGGGTTTTGAGCCTTGATTTAAAGGAAGTCAGTGTTTCAGCCGTTTTGAAGATTTCTGGTAGTTTATTCCAGATTTATGGTGCATAGAAGCTGAATGCTGTTTGTCCATGTTTGGTTCTGCTTATGGAATGCAGAGTAAACTAGAAGCAGGAGTGGGGGTGTACTGACTGCTGTTTTCTGACTGATCGCCGATTACTGCTCTTTAAGAACACTGACCTGCTAATTCTAATTTTGGTAGATCAGTTTTCGGTCTGAAATGAAAGAAAATAAGTCGGTGAATTGGTGACAGTGCGTGATTATTGTTAAACATACGGGCATGACCTGGTGGGTCAATCAGTCAAACCTTTCTGACAGACGAGCAGAAGAGGACAGTGGCTGAGTTTTAGACCATTGCTCAGGAAGAAAAGATCGATGGACAATATCAGCTTCACACGTAAGTATTGGCCAATTACCGATCTCCAAAAATTAAGGAAAAGACCTGAATGATCTCGAAGGTTGATGTATGGATCAATACAAACCTATCAATACCTGAGCTTTATGCTTTAAAACTGTTTCTCAAATCAAAAAATTTATACTTTTGTTACTTCAGTTGTTTTAGGTAAATGTATGCCATTAACGAATGGCATACGTTTCACAGTGGAAAGAAACTACACTGTTGAGATTTTGTTGTTTGTAAAACCAGTGTGCTTACCATGTCTATATTCAAAACATATATGATTTACTGCATTTACTGCATTTACTGCATTTGCAAATTCCATGAAAACCTCTGATATGTCAAAATGTCACATTATATGAATTTCTATTATATGTAGAACTTCATTTATTCATTTAGGTCATTTCTGTAGGAACATATAGGAATGCAAATATAAAAGTAAATACATAATCAGCTCTGGCGTAACCAGGTGACGTTGCAGGGTCTTACCTTGGTACGGACGTTTTCATAAGAAGCTGGACTGACCACTGAAAAGCAGACCAGGAACACATCCTAAGAAGGGAAATAAAGAATAAACATAGTTGTTTGTCTGTACTCTCTTGCAGACATATGTAAACCCACCGTCTGAGGGTAGGACAGAGGTCTGAGTCTGTCGTAGTCCTCCTGTCCTGCTGTGTCCCACAGACCCAGGGACACTGGTTTCCCATCCAGTAGCATACTGGCAGAATAATTATCAAATCTGAAGGGGAAGAGTTTTCAAATATAAACCAACTTATCTTGGATGTGACATTTCACCAAGTAAAACACAAAAACAATAAGGATATTAAAGACATTAAAACATTGTCTTTAATAACCCAGACTCTACATCACAGTTGAACATGACCACATCTGGTCACTAGTTAGCACTGTTTGTTCTGTGTAGTACTTACACTGTGGGGATGTATTCTCCTGGGAAGGCATTGGTGGTGTAGCTGATGAGCAGACATGTTTTACCCACAGCCCTAAGGAGGCAGAGAAAAGACAAGAAGACCAACTGTTCAATATGAAGCATACATTTAGATAATACAGACAAGAGTAACACTAGCCTAGTAAAAACCAGCATCTTGTGCTGCACTTCTCTTTATTCGAAGCGTTTGGGTTGTTGAGAAACGATTGCTAAAACTACAGACAATTGTAAAACAGCACAGAAAACCTATATCATTGTTCACAGCTTCTCCTTTTGTTCGGTGGTTGGTCCGAGTCAAGAGGAGAGAGCACAGACTGTGCTGGAAGTGGTACCTAAGAGGTAAGATCATCACCAAGATAGGAAAACATGGCCTCCGTCTTATGCTAGCTCTATGTGATAAAGAAACATACTGTTGCTATGTCCAAAGTTTTACACGCTAAGCCAAAGGAAATGGCCTGGAAGTCCCACAGTCAGAGTGGGAAACAATCCAAAGTAAGGTTGAGAATGAACCGGATCAAGACTCTGTGGGACATTCAGGCCCAGAAAAGTCAGAGGTACCAAATCTCAAAACTGTACCAAAGGATCAAAGAGGAAATAACTGTCGAAAGTCAAGACCAAACTGCAACCATGACTTTCGCTTTTTCAAGGAGGAACATCTGAGATCTGAGTCAAGAAGAGCAGAGTCCCAGAAAACGCTAAGATGTTGGAGAACATTTAATCTCCTAAACCTCAGTAGGTTTAGGAGATTGAATGTTGTTTAGGTTTAAGTTCTTAATAAAGAGGGGATTACATTTTTATTTGAGTTGGTTTGGCCACAAATGTAAAACATACTTCCTCACAAGAAGCATGAAAATAACTTGATTATTGTTGTACACTCTCACTATCGCTTGCTGTAGGGAACAGTGACAGTAACTGGTGCAGCACAGAGCCGACTGGAGCTTATGTCTGCCTGCTTACTGTCCAAGTCCCGTCATTAAAGGCCACTAGTCCCAAACAATAAGAGTAAGAAAAAGGGAAGGTATTTAAAATCTTTCTTTTGAAGTTGAATATTTTTCTTATAAATAAAGGTGGACAGTCGTCACTGAAAAGAGGCAACATGTTGGCTGTGCTGCAGACGTTGCTGCAGCTGATGTTGCTAACCTAACCTGATAAAAATATTTAAAGTATGTTTGTAAAGAGCTCCAGGTAATGGTGTCTATTAATGTTCAGCCTGGTTCCTTCAGTAAGTGAACAAACCTGTTCCACCATGACTGTTCGACATGAGGATAAACTAGTTTGGACTGGCGGAACCTTTTTCATGAGCGCTATTTTGTGACTCAGAAAACAATTTAATCAGCCTTTTCTTTCTCTGTCTGGCTCTTTTATATCAGAAAATATTCAGAAATGACACTTTAATATCTAATAAAGAGAGAAAATACAACATTTTACACTAATGTGAGCTACTTTGTAATTATTTGATATGAGAACCATTTCTTTGCCTTTAACTGGCTTTACTTTACATACAAATTAGCTTGAATTTTACAGTAAATATTAGAGAGGGGGAAAAAGCTGCTTCTGTTGGTTATGTTTTTTTTGTTTTGTTAAAATACATCATGAGAAGGGAAATACAGGTGAGAAGGGAAAACTGAAAAGTCACTTACCCATCCCCCACCACCACACACTTAATGGAATTTTGCATCAGACACAGCAAGCAGGCCACCTGGACAAAAGGAGGATGAGCAGGAATCTGTTGTCCTAAACGCGAAGCGACCGGAGGAAAAGCGTCTGGAGAGACTCATCCATGCTCTGCTTCAGGAGGAGAGACTGCAGCACCAATTATTGGACTTCCTCTACTGTACCAGGAACAACACCCTGATTAATCTCTGGAATCTTGCTCAGGTGTTGTCCTTTGGAAAGAATTTCATTCATGCAGATCTCTGTACAGTTCGCAGAACAAAGCAAAAATGTCTGACAAGCATTGAACTGTGATGCTCATCAAAGGGGCAGTGTTGTGCAAACTCAACGTTTTTGAGCTTTAGAAGATGTCATAATTCCTTCATCAAAAACACACCTGGAGTGTTGCCTTGATTGGTTCATAAATATTTGAGAAATCCTTAAATCTCCATGGCAACCCTTCAGCTGTGCCTGGGAGAACCTAGCTCCGCCTTTTTAGGACGAAGCTCCGCCTCTGAGCTGCAGTTTTTTTTTAACTTCAGAGCTTCTGCCTCATAGATCAGCTGTGACCTACAACTCCCTCACTCAGCTCCTTTAGACTAGCCAACAGAAATTAGCAAACACCCGGTGGAACTGCTACATGTGCTGAGCTCATTGTACGAGCTACTTCTTAGTACAATGCTAGTAAAAACATAATTAAAGGGTTAACAGAGGAGCCATGTTGTGATGACTTGCTGAAGACGGACTTTCAGAAAGAGCAGGAGCCCAATTCAAAGGTTCTAAATTATAGAGTCAAATTTCTTTTAAGTCATGTTTGACTTAACATTTGAAGGTTGCATACTTTCTTAATTGTAAGAATACAGCCCTTTTAAGAATGCACTTTGATGAAGTCTAGTCTCCAGCAGGACTGCCTCCATTTGTAAAGATGAAACAAACCTAAAATAAACAAAACTTTGATAATATTCTGTATTTGTTATGTACAAGTTCAGAATAACATCAAAACATGTTTGTTGATTCAAGCATGAATAAAGCCTTCAAAAACCTAAGCTCCAATGGTGTGAAAAAGTGTTTCTTCCCTTCCTGATTTCCTGTTTTTGCATGTTTGTCCCACTTCATTGTCTCAAACAAGCAAACACAGAGTGCAGTTTTTAAATGACGGCGTTATTATGGGTGAAAAAAAAGGAAATCAGGAAAAGGACAAACAGTTTTTCACACTGCAAGTCATGTTGTGTTGTAAACAGCTGAAGAAAAAGATGAATGATATATATATATATATATATATA